GGCACTTCCCTAGGTATTGACTTGGTAGTGCTGGGTGGTTCGGGGAATTAGCAGGGATGGTGGTTGTGATGACCAAGACCGGGGGATTCTGGATGAGGCATCCATGGTGTTATGGTTGGCAAACTTGGCTGAGGTCCAAGGAGTGAAGGGTAGAGGTGTCCAAAGAGTATACAGAAACGGTGAACACCAGGGCTTCTATTTGGGGCTTGGTTTACATGTTTTATTGGATCATCGGTTTGAGGGTGTGGGTGAGAGCCCAGTAGATTCCTGTTCAGAAGACCTGGGAATGGTTCCTATGAGAAAACAAGATCTCTTGTATATACAATATGATTTCAGTGATGGGCGTGTGTATATAAGGAAAGAAAACTGGAAGGAAAGGACTAAGCCACTAACCACTTACTGGGCAGGGCATCAGCTCATTAGGCTGACTGCCCAAACTTGGATAATTAGCAGAAGGAGCTAAATTCTTCTGGGTCCTTTTCACTTCTCCAAACTTGACACTTGGCCCTATTTTTCTGGCTCTGACCCGGGCTTCTCTCTGATTCTTCACCCCTACCACGCTACCTCTAGTCTCCTTGGGTCAAAATCCAGGACTGGATTCAACTGGGAACTTTCTTTCTTTGTTTTTTTTTTTTCTATTTTATTATTATTTATTTATTTATTTGAGAGAGAGAATGAGAGAGAGAGAGAGAGAGAGAGCATGAGAGGGGGTTGGGTCAGAGGGAGAAGCAGACTCTCTGCTGAGCAGGGAGCCCGATGCGGGACCCGATCCCGGGACTCCAGGATCATGACCTGAGCTGAAGGCGGCCGCCCAACCAATTGAGCCACCCAGGCGCCCATCAACTGAGAACTTTCTACCCCTGCAGAACTCCCTGGGTCCTACAGTGCACACTCCACCCCCCCTACCCCCCCCACCCCCCTACCCCTGCTGAGAGCAGAAAGATCAGGAAATGGACATCAAGCTGTAGTGGCTGAAAGAAGCAAAGTTGCAAGTTTCCATTTCATTTTCTTCACTTGGCTGCCTGGTCTGGTGAAAGGACATGGAACATTCTGGAATCTTTTGCAAGCATACCTTCTGTTGATGCACTGATCAGACATCAGTGAGCCATAGTACAATTCCTCAAACCCCAGGAATTAGGGTCTTCATAAAATACAAAAACAGAGGCAAAATGAATTCCAAATTGCAGGGAGTGCATATAGATAGTGTTGGTTCAGGCTCTATTTCCAGGAATTCTATGAGCTCCAAGAAGCACCACCTCACCTTCAGGCTTTACTGTTGGTAGAACGAGTGTGCCATCCTATGTGGAGCTGGTTGTAGGATATTTCATACAATTAGGTCTTTTGCGGGGTGGGGGGGATTGAAACAATTTTGCTTTTGTTCCCCCCCACTCCAAACCGTCCTTAGAGCAAAAAGTATATGCCTGTCAAGTGAATTGATGTGATGTCTGGGTTTAGTTCTTCAGAAAGCCCCTCAAAAAAATATGGATAACTCCCTCAAGTTGACCTCTTTTTTAAATTTTAAAAAAGTTTTTATTTATTTATTTGAGAGCGAGAGCATGCGCCCAGGCAGGGGGAGGGGTAGAGGGAGAAGCAGACTCCCCACTGAGCAGGGAGCCCAATGTGGGACTCAATCCCAGGACCCCAAAATCAGGACCTGAGCCGAAGGCAGATGCTTAACCAACTGACTGAGCCACCCAGGCGCCCCAGGTTGACCTCTTTTAGAATACGAATCCCTGCAGGGCACAGACTCACTCACATAATTATGTGTCTTTCTGAAAAGGATTTGTGAAAACCAACACCAATTATGAATACAGGACCACTTCCATCTTTCCCTAGTAGCCCTTCCTGGAAACAGTTTGCACATAAACCTTTCCCAGCCTGAGCCATGGGGTGGGGACTTTCGAAATGGTCTGCAAATTTTCAGGTTTAGCCGTTTCCTTCATCCTCTGGACCCATGTGGGAAGAGTTTTTGCCTGTGTGTCTTTTTTTTTTTTAACATTTTATTTATTTATTTGAGAGAGAGAATGAGAGAGAGAAAGCACGAGAGGGAAGAGGGTCAGAGGGAGAAGCAGACTCCCCACTGAGCAGGGAGCCCGATGCGGGACTCTATCCCGGGACTTCAGGATCATGACCTGAGCCGAAGGCAGTCGCTTTAACCAACTGAGCCACACAGGCACCCCTTGCCTGTGTGTCTTAAGCAACATTTATATTGGAGGCTGGCGCCTTTGATTTCTGAGCTGTACAGCAATGCTGTTTCACTGATCAAAGCCATACAAAATGCCGCATTTTGTTTGGTAATGAGGCCCAGGGACGGGCTGGATGATGGACCCCACATGCGAGGCAGTGTTGCTGCATGCCATCTGAGGAAGTCTCTGGATCACCATGCCGAGGTCTGAAGCTCTGAACTCCAGTGATGCGGCTGGTGAGATGTGCTCCTAGATAAGGGGGATCGGTTCCCTCCTTCGTCCGTCCTGGTCCTGGGTGGAACAGGAATAGGGAAAGCCCTCATTTGGGCTGACGTTTGAGCCACGCCGGAGACAGCAGGCTTACGTTTGGGGCCTCTTGGGTCTGTTTCGAGACCTAAAGAAGCTCTCCCCGAGTGAATCTGAGGAAATAAGCAGGCGGATGTAAAATTTTAAAATATTCTCCCCAAACACCCATTGTAGGAAGAAAGCGTGCTCAGGATTCAAGGCAGAAGCTGAGTTTAGCTGCTTCCCAGGAGCAGATGGATTTACATTGCTCACTGTAGTACAGTTTTCCTCCCGTCTCCCCCCCACCACCGCCCGCCATGCCCTCCTTTCTCGCTCCTCGATTTTAGATTCTAGTAACCATTTTTTTAAAAAAAAAATACAGCTCCAAACTATTCAAATAGACTCCCTGCAGCCTAGAACTACACACAGAACTAGACTCACCTTAGAGAAATTCTGCCAGAACTCCAAGGAACAGTGAGTACACACTGATATTGACCCACAGTTTCCCTTCCAAGGAGTTCTGCTAAAGGAGCTCTCTCTTCTGGTCAAACAGGTCTGCCCACCATTCCCTAAACACATCTCACTGCTTGCTGTCAGCAGGAATGCTTGGACTCTCCATCTCCTTCATGACCCAAGTTCAACTCTGCCTCTTCCACTAAACGTACCCTCTTGTCCTACCTCAGAACGCCTTCTGGCACCTCATATCTGCATATGGCCTTCAGAACACACTCCATTATTGTAGGTACCCCTCTCTCCTGCTGGCTGAGTACCTTCTAGAATCAGGAACCAGTCCTTACTCTGATTCGCAGTGGGACCCGTAGAACTCCTTGAGCTGCGATGTAGTGGTTAACCGACCACGTTCCGGAGCCAGACTGCCTGGGTTCAAATCCAGCCTTGTTGCTAGCTGGATGACAGTTAGTTATGTCACCTAACATCTGTGTGCCTCAGTTCCCTGGCACGTGGGAATATTAACAATGCCTAGCGCACAGGGTTACTTTGAGGATCAAACAAAGTAATACTTGCAAAGGAAGCCCTACACTTTATCCACTCGGCACCACTGTATACGCAGCAGGAATCGCCAGGTGCAGGTGGATGGCAGGCAGCCTCACCCCCCCATGGTGTCGAGCTCAGTTTTGCCTTATAGCAAGTTTACCAGACGCTCCTTAAAGGAATTCCCTACCTGGCTTTAACTGCCCTTCCTACTCCGATCCCCTCAGCTGACTGATGGCATCTTCCAGGGCCACCCACCACTGCCCTGCCTCCTCTCTGTCCCCAGCCACACCCTGCCTATTCCTACCGCTGTGACTTTACTCACACTCTTCCTCCTCCCTGCAATGCTGGTCCTGCCCTTCCCCTTTCAAACTCCCACCCGTCCTTTCTCGCTCCGCTCAAGCTTCACCTCCTCTAGAAAGCCTTCCCCTGATGACGTCAGTTGACGCTCCTCATCCCCCTCCTCAAACCTCCTCAGCAGTGAACGTCAAGAACCACATAACCGAACGTACCCAGAGAGTTTTCACGGTGACTTCTTGAGTCTTGGTCTTGTGTCCTCAGGAAGTTGATACCTTCCTTAAAAACAGCTGGGAAGCTTTCCTCTCTTTTGCCACCTACTCCTTCCTTACCTGTCTCGGCCTGGGTGCCCAGTAGGTGTCCAGTGAGACTTACTGGCCAATGTATCCGTGTACCCGGGGCTGGCCAAGGGAAGCCGAGGCTCTGGCACTCTTTCTGGCAGTGAGCTTGGGCTCCTGTGAAGGGCAGAAGCCAGGGGACCGGGTTCTGCTGACTTCACTTATTTCTTCACAGCCACTCAGGCTGCAGAATTAGCAGGGTCTTCAGGTAAACCCTCCTTCAAACTGGACTGACCCCTCAGTTAATGGTTGACTCTCTGCTGTTTACCTTAATGATTGCTAAGATCTGTTGCTGCACATCATATGCTTTGCGGTTCAACTGCCTTGGCCTGGAGGGTAGAAGGCAATGGGTTCTGGCATGGGATTGGAAATGCGTTGGTCAGTCCCCAGCCACTCGGGACGCAGACACTAAGCATAGGCCACAGAGCATCGTGGTCCTGCCATCTGGGGGAAGCACTCCCATCCCCCTCGCCTTGATGTCAAGGTGCCAGGAGGCACTGCCCTTGTCTTTTTTTTTCTCCCCATAGTCCTATCGTTTTAGAGGCTGGGACCTGGAAGGGATGGGAGGGATGGGAGGGATGGCCCCCAGGGCAGGAGCCCTCTCTGCAACTAGGGCCACACACTGGATCTACTGATGGCCAGGGGATGGGGGAAGCCTGAGGGCTGTTAACAAACCCAGGTCCAGGCTAAACATGGGCACATGGGTGACAGTGATGCCCCTCTCCATCTGGGACGGGGCAGCAACTCCAGGCTATGTGATCTCTCACCAAACCCATTGGGAGCTCAGGGGATCAAACTTACTTAATGATTGTGTGTGGGAGGAGGCAGGGCTGGTTAATGTTTGTCTGGTTCCTCTTGGGCTGTGGGCCATATCTGGCTCTGGCCCTGGGCTCTTTGTCCCTCCCCTGGACTGGGCTGACAGTACCTAGTGGCCTGGCACAGACACGCCTGCAGACATTCCCTGGGAAAGGGCAGCAGCCGCCAGGTGAGGAAGCTGGGGACTGGGGGAGGGGGGCTGGGGAGGGGGAGCTGGTGTGGCACGGGGTGGGGGGGCAGAAATGGGGGCTGGGGAGAGGCCTGGGCTTTGCCTTCTCCTGGCCTCAGCATTAAGCCACTTAGGTCCCTTCTGTGCTTCCCTCTGGGTAGAATGAGGCCCCTCCTGCCAGGTGCCAGGCTTGCTTAGCCTCTCTCTGGAGGCTTCAACTCTTAGCCTCTTTCTGGGCTCCGAGTGGCTTCTCCTCTCCGCCCCCCTTTTCTCCCCCCAGCCATGGATTCTCTTCATCCTCACAGGGCTGAATTCTCAGGAAGATTTGAGCCCTCACCCCCACCCCCTCCAGGCCCAGGGTGGCCAAGTTCTTCTCTTTAAGACATTTCCTGCCTAAGAGGGTGAGGGTTTGGTGGGACCGTTGGGCACTGCCAGGTGCTGTGCTCCTTCCCTGATTAGAAGGTAAAGCAGGCATGCAACCAACCTGGGGTTGCAGACGGATGAACACAGGGCACTCAGCAGGTGCAGAGGGACAGCCAACGGGGCTGGGATTTGGGAGCATGGCTTTCTGTTTTCTTGAGGGAGGGAGGCAGACTCAAGCTGAGCTGGCCAGTAACTGATGATCTGGAGATTTAAAGGAGGGGTGGCCCCCCAGCTGTTTGGAAGTTGTTCCAGCTGTTGGGGATGGCACGGCTGAGTGCACGGACCTAGAAAACGAGGTGGGGAGAGGAGGCTCTAGACAAGAGGGTTTCGAATGGAAAGACCTGCAGATGAGGATGCAGCAGAGCAATGGGCAAGGGACCCACACTTTGGCGAAGGGTCAACAAGAGTCCTAAGTTAAGCTCCAGCACTTGCCGACCAGCTGTGTGGTAAGTTCCTCAGTTTCTTTGAGCCTCCATGGCCCCATCTGTGAATTGGAGACAATAAGCCACAGCTCACAGGCTTGTTGTGAGGATGGGAGTTAATGAACATCTAGCTCCTGGAACACCATAGGCATTCCATAAATGGTGGCTGTTATGTTATAATAAGCCCAAGGAAAGAGCAACAGGAAGTCAGATAGTTGGCGGAGGAGTAAGAGGGTGTAGTCCACAGAGTGAGTAAGGGAGCGGACATTAACAGTTCCTATGAAAAGACCATGACTGAGTGAGGGAAGGAGAGATCTGGAATGAGCTAGAGTGACCCTGACCCCAGGCTGGCCACAGTATATATGGCAGGGCCAAGAGGAGACGAGCAAAGTGCCTGAGGTGTCCTGGGGCCCCGGGACAGAGGCAGGGAAGAGAAGCAGGGGGCAGAGGGAGAGGGCTAGAGAAGTTTGGACTTGGCCACGCCAAACTGACGAAGGCAGGCTGAAATTCCAGGAGAAATCCCAAAGAAAGCCCCTTGTCCTTTCCTGGCCATAGACTGCTTGTGAAGTGGGGGGAGGAACTGTGGAGTCAGAGGCTGAACAGAACCTCATCCTGTCCAGCCAGGGCCCTCTTCCCGAACCAAAAAAACACCAGGATTTCCTGTAGTTGGAAGGAGGGACGGGGAAGAGGTGGGAACAGAGAGAGAGACCTGATGAACGGGTATGTGCGCACATCTGGGTATGTGCGCACATCTGCGTGTGTGTGTGTGTTTGCACGTACCCACGCACGCAAGCACACGTGGGAAGGAGTCAAAGTTTTGAGTTGTGGGCCAGGTCTCGGTGAGAATACAGAGTAAGAGAGGCCAGATCTCGGTGAGAATGCAGAGCAAAAGACAATGTACAAGGCGGCACGAGGTACAAAGGCTTTGAGGTGAGAAGAAAAGTAATGGGAAACTTGACTCTACCATTTTGCAGAGTTGCCATTGAGGCAAGTTATTTAACCTCTCTGAGCCTCAACTTCCTTGTCTGAAAAATGGGGATAATATTACAGGACTGTTACATGGACTAAGTGCGACCTCCTAATCTTGAACTGTGCTTGGGTGCCTGGGCAAATCGGAATCTAAGGACAGGGCCAGGGCCTGACAGAGCCAGGGGAGTCTTGTCTAATTAAACCCGAGAGCAGAAACAGGTCTGGAGCAACACAGAGCATATCAATACTTGGACTTTAACCCAAAGTCACAAAAACGGTTTAGATTTCAAAATCAGGTCCCTCCCCTGGATGTTTTTAGAATGAAACCCTTGAGGTACTGATGTTGACATAGGGATAAGCTCTCCATCTAAAGGGGAGAGCAAAATTCGAGATCCCAGTGCCCACACGAGGGTGCTTAGGGGCCCCAAAGGGAACTTTTACTGGCTAAGTCCCAGAGGGTGCAAAATGAGAGGTGAAGAGCTGCAAGAGCCTAGAAATTCAGGAGTGGCCAGGCTGACTGAGGAGCACCCGTGAGGAGCACAGAGAACAGCTGAAGTGTGCTTTGGAGTTTGAGGAAGCAGCCCGAGAAAGGTAAAGCAGGGGAAATCAGAGCAGATCAGAAGGCAGCGGAAAGCCCTGGGAAGGAAGGAGAGGGAGAGTTACCAGTCCGTAGGAAATGGGAGAAGGGGTTAGAGAAGAATACAAGCCAGACCAGTTTTGAATCCCCTTGTTCCTATTTTTTTTTTAAGATTTTATTTATTTATTTGATAGAGAGCACAAGCAGGGGGAGTGGCAGAGGGAGAGGGAAAAGCAGCCTCCCCGCTGAGCAGGGAGCCCGATGCGGGGCTCGATCCCAGGACCCTGAGATCATGACCTGAGCCGAAACCAAGAGTCAGACGCTTCACCGACTGAGCCACCCAGGCGCCCCTGAATCTCCTTATTTCTAAAAACACTCACAGACAGGCACCTGGGTGGCTCAGTCGAGCCCCGCCTTGGGCTCTGTGCTGGGGGTGGAAAGTGCTTGAGATTCTCTCTCTCTCCCTCTCCCTCTGTCTACCCCTCTCCCCACCTGCTGACCCACACACTCGCTCGCTCTCTCTCTCAATAAATAAATAAATAAATAAATAAATAAATAAATAAATAAATAAATAAAACACTCATAGAAAGAAAAATTATAATTCTAGCCAAGGTGGTAGAGCTTCTGGGCAAAAGTATGGGCTCTGGAGTCAGCTTGGCCCGACTCCAATCCCACTTCCATCACACACTAACTGCACTGACCCATGTGACCCTTGGACAAGTCCCTTCACCTTGTGTTACCTCAGTTTCCTTTTGTGTGCCATGAGGATGAAAAGCAGCACCTACCTCATGGGGCTGTTCTGAGGTTTACATGAGGTCGTGCACATACAAAGCCTGGCCTCACAGGTGCTCAGTAAATGGTTACTCTTAATAATGTTCCTTGACCACCTGTTTGTGAATCTAACGTGTGTCACCAGATGAGGCATTTCTTTACGGTGTAACCATCGGGCCTCCTGCGGCAGCCCTGCCTTCAGAACCCGGGGCTGAGGAGAAAGGGCACCTATGCTCCTGCTTCCCCATGCTGGTTTAGGCCCCAGCATGAACTCCCTAGAGCCTTTTTTTTTTTTTACGTTAAATGAAAAAAAGAAAACCTTATTCAGAGAAGTACTCTGTGTCCCGTGGACCATCCCTTTGTCTCCTGGGGTTTTTCATCCCATTCCCCAGCTTTTCCATGGCTAATATCTTCCCCTCCCCCTACAAGAGAGAAGAGCACCCCGACCTCGATTCAGGGCTTCTGCCACCACCACTGCCCCTGCATGGGGGGCAGGAAATGCCCTACATTCCCCACGGGTCCAGGCCTGTGTGCTCTCCTCACACCCAGGTCCCTGCTTCCAGCATGATCTACTTTCAACTTACTGGCAGAAGTGATGGGAGGTAGGGGGGGCGGCCTTCTTCCCCTGTGCAAAGCGCAGAGGGGAGTTTCTACCCTAGAGCCACTGGCAGGCTCGGGAACCCAGGAGGTCACAATGTCCATTTGATGTCGGGGGCAGGATGGAACAGCCTGTTCTATCTCTGCACAGACACTATATGTCAACGGCAGCATTGGGCAGCGAAAAGAGGGACATTGGGTTTGGCAGACCACCCAGTCCCCTGAAGCAACATGTTTTCTCTTCCCGATAAGGTGCCTACCTCCCTTGATCACCAGCTATGAAAGTGGAGCCGGGCCAAGACCTCTTTGCAGGTGGCTTCACTGAAGCTCACAGTAACCCTGGGTATTAACAACCCACTGACAGATGAGCGAGCAGGCTCAGAGGAGGTCAGGAGCTAGCCCGCGGTCGTGTTAGGCGAAGAACCCGGATTCAAACCCAAAGGCGTATGACTCTTCTCTGTGCCATCTTCCAGCCTTCTGTTTGCTTGTTAATTTTTGCCTTCTCACTCTGGTTTGCACTCACCGCATGCCCACCTGTCACCTGAAGCTCAAGGAGGGGTGGTCAGGGTTTGCTCCGTGACACCAGAGTTGGAAAGTACTCAGGGGTCTGCAGCTGCCATGTTCCTCGTGCTCTCCTGGGGTGCATTAACCCTTGCTTTTGTTGTCGTTCTTAATGGCTGGCTTTTGCTTTTGCCGACACCCGCTGCGAAAAGCACGAAGGGCCTACCGGGGAAAGAGCCTAAGCCTCGGCCTCAGATGCTTGTGCGTTTCATCCTACCGTAACACTTCTTAGCTGTGTGACCTTGAGTAAGTTGCTTGACTTATCTGAGCTGCGACCTCCTCATCTGGACAGACTGGGATAAAGTCCTTGGAGGCCTGCTGAGTGGGTCCGAAGAAAGAATGTGTGGGGAGAAAGCTAATGGGACGTACGAGCGAGCTCACCCGTACATACCGTGCAGGGGCTCTCAACCTAGGAAAAATCCTGCTGACCCTAAGTTTCTAGGAGAGTCACGGGCGACAGCCTCTGCCCGGAGCCTCCTGGTCCCCTCGGGTCCCCTTTTACATGCACCTGTCTTTGTCCCATCTCCCCCCACCCCCCGCCATGGCCATTCTTCTGGTGGGGCTGTGGGGCGGGTGCGGCGATGGACCGGGCGGGCACAGAACAGGTGGGTGCAGGCTGGGTGTCCGGCGCTGGGACACAAGTGCTCTGTGTGTAGGGTGGGCGGAAGTCAGGGCGTTTGATCTGAATTCTAAAGGGCGTTGTTCAGAGCCCCACAAAGGTCCCATTGTGCAGACACTGGGTATAAAGCAGCATATGACTCCCCAGCACCGGGCGGCGATGAATTGGAACGCAGGCGCGGACCCAGGGACCACTCCCCCTGCACAGACATGAGACCATAGGGGACCTGTCTGGGTGGCCTCAGGGATAGGCGCTCCCCAAGGTAATGGGCTTTGTTGGGCTCGCCCCAGGTCCAGAGCTAAGGAGCTGGGGGATGGGGAGTTAAAGATGATGGCTGATAGCAGAACAAAATGGGCCTGCTAAAGAAAAGGGCTCTGGAGAGGAAAGACCGTTGGACAAAAGCGAAGGGAGATAGGGCTCAGGGAGGTCAAGTCAAGTGAGGAGGAAGAGGAGGAAGAGAGGCTGGCAAGGGACATGGGGTGATGAGGAAAGCGATGACCATCCTTCTTCCCTTCCTGTCACTGGCTCTCGGAAGGGGTGACGGGGGTGGGGGGGGTGTGTCAGGCCGTGTTACGGTGTCCAGCTTTCTGCCAGCCTGCTTTGTGGCTCGTGTTTTGCAGGTGTGAATGAGGCAGGATGAACTGGACAGGTTTGTACACCTTGCTCAGTGGCGTGAACCGGCATTCCACGGCCATTGGTCGCGTATGGCTCTCGGTCATCTTCATCTTCAGGATCATGGTGCTGGTGGTGGCCGCGGAGAGCGTGTGGGGTGACGAGAAGTCTTCCTTCATCTGCAACACCCTTCAGCCTGGCTGCAACAGCGTCTGCTACGACCACTTCTTCCCCATTTCCCACGTGCGCCTGTGGTCTCTGCAGCTCATCTTGGTGTCCACCCCGGCTCTCCTCGTGGCCATGCACGTGGCTCACCAGCAGCACATAGAAAAGAAGATGTTGCGCCTCGAGGGTCACGCGGACCCCCTGCACCTGGAGGAGGTGAAGAGGCACAAGGTTCACATCTCAGGGACACTGTGGTGGACCTATGTCATCAGCGTGGTCTTCCGGCTGCTGTTCGAGGCTGCCTTCATGTACGTCTTTTATCTGCTCTACCCCGGCTATGCCATGGTGCGGCTCGTCAAGTGTGAGGCCTACCCCTGCCCCAACACGGTGGACTGCTTCGTGTCCCGCCCCACCGAGAAAACCGTCTTCACGGTCTTCATGCTGGCCGCCTCTGGCATCTGCATCATCCTCAACGTGGCCGAGGTGGTGTACCTCATCATCCGGGCCTGTGCCCGCCGAGCCCAGCGCCGCTCCAATCCGCCCTCCCGCAAGGGCTCGGGCTTCGGCCACCGCCTCTCACCTGAATACAAGCAGAATGAGATCAACAAGCTGCTGAGCGAGCAGGACGGCTCCCTGAAAGACATACTGCGCCGCAGCCCCGGCACTGGGGCCGGGCTGGCTGAGAAGAGCGACCGCTGCTCGGCCTGCTGATGCCACACACCAGGCAACCTCCCATCCCGCCACACACACACACACACACACACACACACACACACACACACACCCGGACCCCCCACCACCCTGCCCAGGAGCTTGCCCCTCCTTCTCCCTTGCCCGGGTGCAGGCCTCTGTCTGCTAGGGACTGCTCCATCAGAATCTCCCTTCCCTCCCTGGTTTCCCTCCCTCGCAGGGCCTTCTGTCTGAGGGGCCCGAAGGGGGTGGGGAGCCGGAGGTCACCCACACCAGTGCTCAAGGTTGTGGGGGGGGCGTGCGGGCAGCTCTTCTTGTCTGTACCCCCTTTCCCCTTCTCTCTCCCTGGGGCCACTGGGGACAAGAGATAGGATGCTCTGACAGCATCTCGAATTATGAAACTAATCTTAACCCCGTGTTGGCACAGACCCTATTTCTGGAGTCATGTCAGTGGGGAGGGACATGGGCAAGTGGAACGGAAGGAGGGTGCTGTGGACACGTGGGGGGAAGAAGGGAGGGTAGGCAAGGCAAGAAAAGGAGGGACAGCACTTTGCGGGCCACAAGGAAAAGGAGGGACACGTCCCGGGGCGGGGGGGAGGGATGGGGGGGGGGGGGGGGCAGGCGGATAAGCTGGAGTGGGGGTGGGTCAGGGCCATCTTTGCCTCATTCCCAAGGCCTCTCTGTGCCTGCAATGTTACACATTACACAGGATTTTGCAGTAAACGAGGAGGTGGCTTGTGTGTTTGTCAAGTTCTTTCTCCTGCAACCTCTGACCTCCCCCTGAATGAGCTGGCCTTGGTTTTTTGTTGATCTAGAAAGCAATGGGCAACAGAAATAGTGAGACCCTGAGCCATCCCTGCCTCATTTTTTTTTCTTTTTGTGGGGGGGCGGTGTTGGTTTAGTTTTGCGTTTTGGCTTTTGGTTGGGGGGGCCTTAACAATGTTTTAATCACAGCTTTATGGGGATCAGATGCCCTGACCCCCTTCCTCTCCTTTTATTTTTTTTCATCCATTCTAAGTATAGTTTATGGAGTTCTCGTGATTGCGTGCAGTTTCGTAAACACGGCCGCAATATATTATAAAACATTTACATTACCTCAAGAAGTTTCCTTGGGCCCCTTCCTCTGATTTGAAAAACATTACAATGACAACTCCATCTGGAGAGACAGGAAATGATAGAAAGATTTTGCAGGTCGGAGAGGGCAGCACACGGGTCCTGGGCGAGGGCCCCTCCTCCAAGCTCCTGGGAGAAATAGCCCCCTTCCTCCTTCGAACCTCACTACAAACTGATGCCCCCACAAGCCACCTGCTGGACTCTGACCCCTCTACCTGGATTGGACATAGTCCCTAATTCGACCCTCGTCCCCAGTTGCCTTCCCTCAGGAATCAATGCTTCCCATCCCAGAGATGTCTCCAAACACAGGTCAGAACTTTCATAGCCGGGGCTGGGGCGGGGGGGGGGGGGTGTCTCCTCACCCCATCTCCTTACTCCGAAGCACCAGGTAGCCTCCCTGCCGTCTGGCAGATGTGATGGGAAAAGCCCCAACCTGGGATTTGACCAAGCTGGGTTCAAGTCCTTGTTCTGTCCCTTAGGAGTAAGACATTCCCTTCCCCAAGCCTCAGTTTCCCTGTGAGCAAACAAAGGCGGGCCTAGCACATGGCTGAGCTCCCTTTAGCACTCTGCATTTCTGGGATTCCTAAGAGGCTTTCCCAGCCTCACAGGGGTTTCCCCAACTCAGAGTTGCTGCCCTCACCAGGGAGACTTCGGAGTGAAAGCCCCCCCCAAGCCCCCGCAAGTTTCTCACCTCAGTTCCCCTACCTCTTTAATATATTTTTTAAAGATTTTATTTATTTGACAGAGAGAGACACAGCAAGAGAGGGAACACAAGCAGGGGGAACAGGAGAGGGAGAAGCAGGCTTCCCGCTGAGCAGGGAGCCCGATGCGGGGCTCGATCCCAGGACCCTGGAATCATGACCTGAGCCGAAGGCAGAAGCTTAATGACTGAGCCACCCAGGCGCCCCTCCCCTACCTCTTAACAGAAAAAAATGATTTCCCACTCCCTGTCAGAGTCCGGTGACTCTGTGTGACAAATGCATCAGAAAAGAAGAGCAAATCAGGCATTTTCTCTAATCAGAATTGTTCTCCTCTAGAAACAGTCTTTCCCCTTCAGACAGAAAGCAGGGATGGTTTCTTCATTCGAGGAGGTTTCTCCTTTAGAAAAGAAAGGAGATAGCAAGCCTTTCCCCCACCCTCGGCAATCCCTGATTGACAGCTTCCCCCTTTCCTAAAGGAGAGAGATTACTTTTCTGAAAAAAAAAAAAAAAAAAAAGTCCTTTCTCTTTAGAAAGCGACACCATATCCTGGGAGAAGAGAGGTCCCCACCCCCAGGTCTCCCACGATAGGAGAGATCCCTTTTCTTATCAAAATCCTCCCCACCACCACCACCAACAGAGCACAAGGAACACAGAGCATCTCTTCTCTGTCCAGAAGGCTATCAAGAAAAAGATTTTCTCTTTAAAAATGTCCTCCCGGTTCCACACAAGAACCTCCTGCCCTCCCCACGTGGAGAACTGCGAAATCCATCATTGCCCCAGATACCGAGTTTCTCTCCAAACGGTTCTACCACGAGAATCTCCCTTGGAAAGAGGCTCCAACTCCAGATCAAGGCTTTCCTCCCCAGGGGGCAGTGGTGGGACAATAAGCCACGAGCCGGCTATACAGCCAAAGGGACGACACTGACCCTTGCGTCCTGTGAACCAGATGGGAGCAGGCCAAAGGACTCTGAGGGGAGCTGGAGTACACAGTGTTGCAGGGAGGGCTAACCCAGGACTGATTTTTTGATCTGAGGCTTGTCACAAGAGTGTATGTAGGGGAGAAATGGGAGGTGAGTGGGCGTAGCACCTGCCACACAGTCAAACTACGGAGTGACCGCAGTGGTGGTGGCAGCGAGGAAAGCTTTGCAATACGGAGACCGGGGTTGCCATTTATGAGCTCTGTCCCCCGGGACACATGATACCTACCCTGAGTTTCAGTTTCTTCGTCTGCAATATACAGAGCATAACGCCCTCTCTACCTCTCCTTTCCCAGAACTTTTGTGAGAATCCAATCAGATGTGTTCAAAAGCTGGTTAGAAACTGCAAAGTAAGGTCAGATACTAGCAGAAGCACAGAGACCACAGCCCGAGGGCATGCTAGAACTTGCAGTGAGTCAGAAAGGAGTGAGGCTGGTTCAGCTAGGCTGGGGCTCGTGGTCCGATAACAGGGTCAGCTCCCCCAGGGAGTGGACAGCAGCCCAAACACCAAGGTCCACGAGATGTTGCATATTCAAGGGATCTGATCTGGGGGCAGAAAAGGCCGAGTAACAGGAGCTTCTTACGCACTCTTTCTCCTGGTACTGGTGCTTTTAGGGACATTTGTGGTCTTTTAGGAGGCATCTGTGTGCAGAGATACTGGGAGCTGGGGGCAAGGAGACGAGGCAGCTCCTGGATGAGGGGAATGGCTCCCTCGAATAGTCAAGGCCCCCCAACAACCGGGTTGGGATTTCAAAGCAGGCTGCAGTATCCACAGAGAACTGGCATGGCAACCATGAACTGATTCAGGTGCCCAGTCAGATAGCCTGGGTGCACACAGTGGTGGCTAGTGGGGAATGCTTGCTCCATTTCCTGATTCCACAACATGTAAATGCCAGACATGACCTATGATAGACAAGGGGCTGGAAAGGCCCACCAAGCTGGACCCTGTTTGATTCCTGGATGAGGCCAGGCTGAACCGGTCAGGCGGGAGAAAGGATTGTGGCATTCTAGGGAGGGGGAATAAGGTGGGCATAGGACACAGACAGGGTATCTGAAAGAGTGGAATGCCGTCTTGAGTGAGACAGATAATCTACTGTGGCGGATTGGAGGAATCGAATGGCCAGAGGGGAGACGGGAAAGAGAAAGTAAGACCAGCTTGTGAGGGGCCTTGGGTGTCACCCTAAGAGGTTAAGACTGTCCTACCGGTGGTGGAAACCACTAAGGGTTTTGAGAAGAGGAGTGCTGCCTTCAGATTTGTGGCTTGGGAGCTGACTCCAGCAGCCACATGGAGAGCCGACTGGGGATGGGAAAGATAAGAGGCAGAATGACCAGTTACGGAGCTCTTGCAATGGCCCAAGTGGGCCCGTGCGACTAGGACAGTGGCAGAAGGAATAAGAGGAGACAAATGTGAGACATACTTTGGATATAAAATCTATGTAGGACTTAATGTCTGAGCGTGGGGAGATGAAGGAGCCAAAGACAATTTGGAGGTTTCCTCCTCTTTCCTTGACTGACAGACTCCTAATCATTCCAGACTCAGCTCAGATGTCATCTCCCGTGTGAAGGCTTCACCTCTCTTCTCCCCTCGCTGTGTCCCCCACCAAGTCCCTCAGAGAGAATGAGTCCTCCCCTCATTCTGAATTCCTGCAGCACATTGTAGCGTATATCGATTAGAGTACTTCTCGAATTGTATGGCAATCACTTGCGTAACCTTAACACGTAGTAGGTGCTTAGCCCGTTGGATCAAGGGCAGTAGGGAAGTGGAGACAGGCACGTGCAAAGGTTCAGAGTCTGGAAAGAGTAGGGTGTGTTCAGTGTGACTAGAGCAGAGAATGCATGGGATGGGGTGGGAGGTCATAGTAGGATGTGAGACTGGCAACGTAGTTTGGGGCCAGTCCATGAGGGAGTCTCATATACCACACCTAGAAGTGTGCACAGGGGCTTCGACTCTGTGCTATCCCATGTAGGAATCTTAACTTAGACTGACTGGCAGTTTGGTACTCATACAGACAGACTGTGAAGATCTTGAGGAGATCCAGGTCAGGGCAGCCCTTGGCACAAATAGATGTATTAAGGACGATGATGACCTATGGAAGAAAAAGCAGAATGATCTAACAGTGGACCTCACGGAGAAAGGGTAATTTACACAGGATGGTTCTCCACTTCTTTTTTTTTTTTAAGTTTATTTTAAGTAATCTCGGCACCCAACATGGGGTTTGAACTCACGACCCTGAGATCAAGAGTAGCATGCTCCTCCGA